ATCTGTACAGGCTGGGGGATGAAGGGATTGAGAGCAGCCCTGAGGAAAAGGACTTGGGGATACTGATAGATGAAAAGCTGGACATGAGCCAGCAATGTGCATACTATTGTTATCTTCTGTCCCACTCATTCATTTGCTCACACAGCATAGGGTTGTGTTGTGAGCCTAAAAATTGTGACCATCTGGCAGGCCAGCATGTTTTTAATCCTGTGATAAATAGAGCCCTGGAGTCCCTGGAATACTTCTAGGGGGTCTCTCTCTCTGGAAGGCAGCTGTGAAAAACCAGGTTTACATAGAAAATACTTAAGGGATTTGGAAATAGAGGTTTAAAAGATGTTTAAAAGTTACTCATCTGTAGGATAGAAGTTGGGGGATTTTATTTTTCATTTTTTTAAAGCCCAAGACAAACACAGTATTAAAGGCACTTTAGGTTTACAGAGGTAAGCACTTGAAAGGTAGGAAATGCTCGCATGAAAATTTCTGGTAGAACCTGATTTCTCTTCCCCTTCTCCCTTTATTCCGGTATTGTGACACCATTTTTAGTTACACAGTGGTATATTTTTTCCAGTACAAGAACCTGTCCTCATTCAATGTACACAAAAGATAGTGCTCCAGGAATAGTCCTGTGTGACATAGTAAATGAGACTGTCATCATCATGGAAGTGTAATTCTGCCTCCATCAGTTAACGGTAGCACAAACATCATATTCAAAGCATAGTTTAGAGAAAGCCTGTGTAGTATTTTGTAAATATGAGAGCATCGGGAACTATACACTGGTTTGTTAAGAAATTACAACTGTAATATTAATGGTACAGGGAGACAGTTCATTCAAGCGTGGATGTGTGAACACATGTTTTTGTGCACACATGTGAATGCATTGCACTATGGCTGATGTTGTATCTCAGTAATAACATCTCCACTGAGTTTGCTAGCTTTTCTTCAAATGTGTAACTAATGGGGAAAGGAGGGAACTTTATATGGAAGAATGAAAGGCGACAGAAGCTCAGAGAACTGAGATGGATTCTTTCCTATCAGAGAATAGTCAGGGTTGCTTCTATCTTGGGAAAACTGAGAAGTCTTATCACTGCCCATTGTGGAAATGGTGGAAACTGCAGCACGTTGGATACACGAAGAGGGTATTGTTAGACGCTTGACCCCTACTCACCCTGCTGCCATCTGATGCTTTGAGATCTGAAGTTACACAAATTGAGAATTCCTCATATATTTTCTTCTCTTACAGTTTAATGAGAATACAAAAGTCAATGTTTCATTTCCTGTATTCAGTGAAGTCACTCATCTTTCATAGCATAAGTGCTGGAGCGTGTCCAAAGAAAGGCAACGAAGCTGGTGAAGGGTCTAGAGCACAAGTCTTGTGAGAAGAAGCTGAGGGAACTGGGTTGTTTAGTCTGGAGAAAAGGAGGCTGAGAGGAGACCTTATCGCTCTCTACAACTACCTGAAAGGAGGTTGTAGCAAGGAGGGGGTCAGTCTCTTCTCCCAAGTAACAAGCAATAGGACAAGAGGAAACGGCCTTAAGTTGCACCAGGGGAGGTTTAGGTTGGATATTAGGAAAAATTTCTTCACTGAAAGGGTAGTCAGGCACTGGAACAGGCTGCCCAGGGAAGTGGTTGAGTCCCCATCCCTGGAGGTATTTAAAAGACGTGTGGATGTGGTGCTTAGGGACATGGTTTAGTGGTGGACTTGGCAGTGCTAGGTTAATGGTTGGACTTGATGATCTTAAAGATCTTTTCCAACCTAAACGATTTGATGATTCTGTGATTCTATGTGTGCCTAGCATTCTGCCAGATGAAGAGAGTAATGTTTCAGACCTATGCATTCACTCAGATTACGATAAAGAGGCTGAAGGCAGTAAAGAATTTGGCCATTAACATTTGATAACATATCAGTTGGCTGCTCTGATTCCTGGAAGGCTGTTAATAAATAGGTAGGTTTGTTCCTAGTTTCTGGTAAGAGAACAAAACAGGAGAACCTCTGTTTCTGAGTGGTATGGCTAACAGCTTCAGGGCATAAACTAATTCTGCTTCCCTCTCCTGTTTAGCACTTTCATTTATAGATTTATGACTCTGAGTAAGTAGGGAGGTATGAAGTTGGCTGTAATTGGTACTGTGCATAAATGTAAATGATCATTTCAAATGTGGATGCTCTGCCAGATATTACATTTTGGTTTTTTTTTTAATTTCCATAGCTATTGCTCTTTTTTGACCATTGGGTTTTGTTTTACTTGTGGAATATTTTGGCTCCTGGGAGATGAATTCTACCTCAGGGCCTCAAGCCTGTGGGAGGTTATGTTGTACCTCCTAGGCTGCATGTTAAGGTGTTGATGCATGATTTCAGAGGTCCATAGTTCACTAAACTTACTGCAGGTATGAAGGATTGTTTGTTTTTCTTCTGGTCTCTTAATTTGATATGGGTGAGTATTACAAGAAGTCACATGAGCAAAGCATCTCTAGCTGTTCTCCTGGTTGCCCAGTGTCTCCTTCTAGTGAGTCAGGAAGTCAGCCACCATCTTCAGTGCTTACCAGGCAGGGTCCAGACCCAATAGCATCTTTGCAAAAGGGATATAGAAAGTATACTGACTTTGATACTGGGGGCCACTGACCTGCAAGTAAGTGAAGAAACTAGTAGGGTCAGAAGGAGGAGATGCTCAGTAACTGGGAAAAGTACCTGAGTGTGGGAAGCAGGAGACCATGGAGGAGAGAATTGGAAAGTTCAGGAGAAGATGGAATGATCGGGAAACCCAGAAAGGCAGGAAGTGGATAAGAAGTTCTGCATGTGCTGGATGCAAATCTAGATACCCACTTGGGGTATCTCAGTTTTGGAGTGCTTACCTTGAGTTTGGCTTTCCTGAGAAAATGCTACATATGCAGTGCTGAGCACATCAAATCCAGTGAAAGGGAGCTAAAGGGAATCCAAAGGATGGTAGAGTTACCCGAAATGCTGACCCACATTCAGGGGTGCATAAGACATCCAAGGAACTGTTTGGTTTGTTGAAGCTGCACTGCTGTGCTGCAGATTGACAGGTGCCTGTCAGGGCAAAGCTCTGGGAGATGATGTCCCTCTAGCTTCTGGAGTAGGATGAGAGCCCAGAATCAGGTGTCCTGTTGTGCTAGAGTCAACAACAATTTTTCCCATGGAACTATGAAGGGTTTTTTGTTCACCTTGGCATTAGTGACTGATATAGCCTGGGGGAGGATGTGGTCATCCTAAACTCTTGAACCATAGCAACATGCCATATCTGAGCTTGGAGAGGTGAACACAGCCACCACCTCAAAGAGAAGCTTAGTGACACCTTTAGGTGGCACTGGTCTTGTGGTGTTGGCTTCAGACCTAACAGCCAAATCACTCTGCAGGGAGTGTTATGGTACTGCTGTGTGGCTTTCTGGACTGCTGCTTTGGGGTTCACCTCTTGCCCCTCCCTGATGACTGTGGATCTCCCTTGCCGTTCCTCTCCAGTTTTGCAAACTGTGTACCATGGCAAGATGCTGGCCCAGCAAGATCCGCACGGAGGCTGAATGGTGGCAGCTGGCATTGCCTCTTAATATAGAAGTGAGGGGTGTGGCTGCACATGGCAGCGTGGTGCAGATCAGTTTGGGAACAGGCTGTGTGCTAAAAAGAGTTCAGTTGCACGTTGCAAAGGCTTATGGGGTTGATACTGCATCTGAGGTGCAGCGTAAGTACACAGAGGGAAATACAGTGACTTCCTAACGGCTTTCAGGAGCAAGCACAGGAGTTACATAGCAGCCTGGGTGCCCACTCAGAGATGGTGGACTGTGGTAGGAAGTGAGCAGAGGGGGTAGACATGGCCGGAATGGGACTGCAGCTCACGTGGAGGCACCTCAGCTATCTGCAACACTGCTAGCTCAGGTAACGTGAAGACCAGAGCTGTGGCAGCATGAAATGTCTGCGTGTGCTGGAAAATCGTCCTGCAAATCGTTGCCGAGCTCCACGCTGTCTCTGCTATGCTTGAAGCTTACTTGTTTAAACCCTGTACAGGATGAGCTCAATCACAGCAGTGATTGCAATGTAGACATGCCCTGTATCCTTTTATAAACGTCAGGAGCTTTTCCATCTCTCCCAAAAGCTGTTTTTAAAGGATTTCTCAATAGTTAACCACGTGAATGAATAAATCATAATTATGATTCAAATAATTGTGTGAATGAATAATTCATTGTAATAACTGAAAAAGGAATCCCAGCAAGAAGCATTTTACTGTTACAAAAGTAAACATTGATTCATTTTTTTAAAAGAAAAGGCACATTGTCCAGCAAAGTATTTTTCATCTGGCTGCCATACCATAATTATGTATAATATGAAAGAAAAATGCGCTTCCTTGTGCGACAGCCATCTTCATATAAATGAAAAAATATGCTTCCTTTTGCAACAGCCATCTTCAATGCTAATGAGTGAGAATGGAAAAAGGATTAAGCGACATTTAAATCATATTCACCTCCTTCCTGAGGACAGAGCCAAACAAGGCAGCCATAGTCAGCCGGTCAAAATGTCCAGAGCTTGAAGTAACTGAATATTGCCAGCTAGTTAGAGAGGAATTGGAAAGAGGGGTAAAGAGGGGAATGTTTTCTTCTAGATCTGTGCTGCTAAGAGATAGTGTAAGCTAAGCATATGGCTCCCCGCCAGCAAAGGCATCAGATACTATGATGATAAAAGCCTGCTTAATAATATTTAGCACCGACAAAGGGCTTTCAAGGGAAAGACAGACTTTTGTCCTGGGAAGGATGGAAGCAGCCTCACCTGTTAGCCCCATTTTCGGAGGGAGAAAGTACACTGTCATGAGTTTCCCTATGCTTTCAGATGCCAAGCGTGACATGGACGGAGCAAGCCACAGGTTTCTAAAGGCAAAGGAGGTGGAAGTCTGATTGCCTGCAAAATGCAGTTTTGGCTCCCAGGGAGACTAAGTGCTGACTGTGCGGTGGTAAGCAAAAACATGAGCAAGCTCACTTGTTTGGTACCTGGGAGAAGGGGGCAAACTCTATCCACCCCAAATGAGAGGAGAGAAACTGTATTTACCTGTGTCTTTCCCCAGTCGCACTGTTCACTATGTGACAGGTTGTCTCCATCTGTGGATGGTCCGATGCCACTGCCGTGCTTGCATCATGGCAATGACATTTATAAATGGAGGTCCGCGAGCCACAGGCATGGAGTGCCTCCTTCAAGGTCAACTACTGCCTGCGGCAGGGACAAGAACAACACCGAGGTCTCCCGGATCCCACGGCTGAGCTCTGAGCAGTGACCGGAGCCGGCGGTGTTTGACAGTCCCCGTCAGGGTTTTGAGTGAAGGGGCAGGGGCAGGGGCAGGTTTTCATGGTGGAGGGGTGGGGGAAAAGAAGGGCGGGGGCGGTGCCACCCTTGGGCAAGCTGTTGCGAAGCGCCTGGCCGGAGAGCTGCAGCCCGCAGCTCGGGGGTACTCTCCCCTCCCCCCCCCAGAAAGACGGACGCCCCTGGGCTGGGGCTGCTGCGGCGGGGGGCGAGGACCAGCCTCCGCGCACGTCCACGGGCGCGTGTGTGTCTCGCTGCGTGGGTGCGTGCATCTGTCCGTATCTGAGCGCGTCCGTGCCGGCGCTGCCTGTATCTGCGGGTGTCTGTCTTTCTGTATCCGTGCCTGCCTCTGCTCACGGGCGCGGGTCTCCGGGCGCGTCTGTGCGTGTCTGCGCGTACCTCTGCCCCTCTCGCTCCGTGCAGCCGTGGGTGTGCGTGCTCGTACACCTCCCTCTCCTCCTCCTTTCTCTCCCCCTCCCGCGCGTGTCTGTCTGTGTGTGCGCGGCGGGGAGGGCAGAGCCGGGCGCGCCGTGCAGCAGCGCGGTGCCTCAGCGCGGGGC